AATAAAAAATTAGGATAATCGGATTCGAAACCTGGATTCTAGCGTTGTAAGTCCGCAGACATACCTCTGTACCACTGGGGGGGTTTTGGAAGGAGAATGGAGATTCTTAGAAATCGCCGTGTTTTGGGGGATTTTTTTTGTACTTTTACGCAATTTTTAAGAATTTGCTAGGTTGTGTAAAAATTATGTACGGGTGCATTAATTGTTGATATGTTCTTAAACCATAATTTTCATACCAAATGAAACCAATTTTCATATGCATACCAAATGCTCTTCAAATAATTTGATCATTGAAGTTTTTAATCTGAAGTTCCTAATAAAATCAGACTGGGCGTGGCCTAGTGCTTGGCGTTTTAGGCTACAACATAAAGGACCCACAGCTTGAGATGCGATACCACTAAACACACTCCACACAAAGGACCGGATTAAGGACTTGGGTGGGCCTTTAAACAGAACTTTATAAAAAATTATGTGAAACATATCTGTCTCTAAATCTTTATTTAAAACATCATATGCCCCCCCCCCAAGTGGATCAGCGGTACGTTTGTGAACTTACAATGCAAAAATATGAGGTTTGGTTCTTCATGGTGTACAGAGCGCAGATAACCTGTTGTGTGGCTTTGCGTTAAAACTATCAAACAAGCGAAATATCATGAATTGTTTATTACATCTGAAGACACTTAGTGATAAAATAACATAGGTTTACGTAAATAAATAATCATCCCCCTGACTCATTCTCTGTTTTGGCTGTTTAACGTACTTACGTAATAGCAAACTATCCATAGAGCAAAGGGAATACAATAAAATACAACGTTAATATTGTATTAAAGTGATTACAAGTTGCACTAATATGACTGTTGAGAAGCATGGATGTTTATTTAATATTCTCTAGAGTTAGAAACTTGCACACTTAACTGTATCATATAAAAAAACAACTGAAACCTTCATACAGCCACTTCGATTCAAAATAATTCTGTTCTAGTCTGTTTTGATATATAATTTTGACATTCTATTATTATACTTTGGAATATCATAAACGTGGGATTTTTAAACTGGCCAGTTCTGTCTGTTTTAGATAAAATGTATCAACTTTTTAATTATAATTTTAAACTAGTCAATTTAATCGGAAATAACGCATTGGTTCGTAGCGACCTCTTTTGTTAAGTTGAATGTGTTTGATATTTCTTGTGCACGAGACACATGGCAAATTTGTTAGTAGAATGATAGACGGTGTAGAAATGATTTTTAAAAAATATAAATAGGCATAATCTCGATTTACTGACGGTAATCAAAAGTTTTAAATTAAACTGTTAATGTATTTCGTAATTAAATGTTGCAGAAGCAGAAACATATTTTGTTAAGAAATGTTGCTATTAGGCCTAACTTATTTCAGTTTCTACGCTTGACGACTCGTACTGGTAATGGAACAACTCGTCGATCTATTACTGCAGTATTTAAGCCTAATACAAATTTGAGCAGATCTGAATTTGTTTCGAGGGTGATTGGTCGGTCCTGTTATTATTTTGAAATTAAACATTTTAATATTTCATCAATGGCTCAAAGTAAGTTTGAATACGTCAGGAAATTTGAAAGTGATGACCGATGTTTACCAAACTGCTGGATGGTTGTTAGATTAGATGGAAAAGGCTTTCACAAGTTATCCAGTGAACATGACTATGATAAACCAAATGACAGTCGTGCTTTGGCTTTAATGACCAAAAGTGCTGTTCGTGTAATGGAAGAATTTAACGAAATCTGCTTGGCATATGGTCAGAGTGATGAATATAGTTTTGTTTTTAAGAAGGATTCAGAACTCTACAATCGAAGAAAAACCAAGATAGAGACAAATATTTGTAGTTTGTTTTCCTCATCTTTTGTATATTATTGGAGTAATTTTTTCCCACAGACATATTTGAAGTATCCACCATCATTTGATGGCCGTGTTGTGTTATATCCAACTAATCAAAATTTACGTGACTATCTGAGTTGGCGACAGGCTGACTGTCACATCAATAACCTGTATAATACAGCATTCTGGGCTTTAGTGCAACAAGGTGGTTATTCCCCAAGTAAGGCTGAAGAGAGGTTGAGAGGGACTGTTGCTTCTGATAAAAATGAAATTTTATTTTCAGAATTTGGTATAAATTACAATAATCTTCCAGAATTGTATCGTAAGGGTACCATTCTGTTACGTAGAAAAGTAGAACAAGAACATGAAAAAAATGTTGTTGGCCAAAATGGTATGGTAGAGACACAAAGATATACCAAAAGAAGGATGACAATTCTTCCTTTAAATGTGGACATTATTGGAGATAAGTTCTGGGAAGAAAATAATGACATATTGGGGTCATATATGTGACACACTGTTATTTAGGAGAAAAGTAAGGTTTTATAATAAGCCCTAAATATTAAGAGTTATCAAGCCTAAGTGAGAGCATTGTTTTATATTATTTAATTCGTTTGTAGACAGATGAAACTATATTTTTAAGTGATTAATCTGCAAATGTAGGTTACAATACCTAGTAATCTTTTTATGAGTTGACACTTTTATTTTGTATACATTTCAATTGATGTTTTTAATTATTTTGTGTTACTTTGAAAAGGGTTGATAACAAAAGCTAATTACTTGTATTTTTCTAGTTGCTTTATTTAAAGGAGAAAAATCCAGTAATTTAATTATTACAGTGGAATGTGACTACCTCCAATAAAACTATAGTGTTTCAACTTAACTTTATACTATTAATATTGTTCAGTGTACTCACAGAATTTTCTGTGAAATGGTGTAGAACCTTACGGATTTAGCCATTTATTTAATTGAAAGAATTAACTTAGAGAATAAATTTGGTATACTAATACACAAAAATAAGCATGTGATTTTTGTCCCATATATCAAATTCCTACTGAACAAATCAACCAAGGATTTGGTGTGTATACATACTGTTAAAGTATACAGAATTAAAAACACATTGGGGTATAGATTTTGAAGTGTTGCCACATAAATAGTTTCACAATTAAACTATAAAATCTTGCTTAAGGATGTAGCAAAATGTTTAAATTATACATCTGGTGTTTTTTCACGATGTCAGTAAATAATATTTATTACAGTTAAATAATTATTTCATTGATCCTTATTATACAGAAACATTTTTTTTTTTTGGTTAATAAATTAATTATTTCCTAGTTATAGTTTCATCATGTATTTCTTTTAAATGTCAGGCTTTGTATTCTATAAATTGTATGTATTAAATACATTCAGATGTAGTTTAAATTACGCATGAATATTAGAGGCAGTGGGTGTGTTAGAGTTTATGGACCATATTACTGTTAGAGAAGACTACGTGCCATACAGGATGGGACCACGGGTTAGCATGTATAAATGGGTAATTTAAAATGCCGGTGAAGAAGTCTCAAACAGGTAGATTTCATGTAGAGGGGATTAAGAAGGGGAGTTGATAGAAATATGTGATGTGAATTTATTGGGACAGACTAATCTTTGGAAGATCAGGAATGCCATCTATACTTTGTTTGTTATTAGATGCATTCAATCAGTTACGAGGGTTTTTCCTATATCCTGGATAGCAGAGTTAATTAGGCTTAATGTTGTGAATATAATTTTATAGGTAACTATAGAATTTTGTATGTATTGCCCTGACTATACCTAAGTTATTAAAGTAAAAAGATCAACAGTAGTCACCATACAAACCCTTATATGATAATAGTACTGATGAAAGTATTAATTTTTATAAAGATTTATAAAAAAGACACCAATTCCATTGTTTCCAAGATGTCTTGTAATCGAAACCGCTATAAAAATGCTTACCGGTTGCCCAAATTTTGACCGATTATTAAGTAATTTTTTCTTAAATTTGTACTTAGATCTATGTCTACTAAAAGGCTTAGCTCTGCCCGGCAAGATTTGTGTTGTACCTGTTTGACAACTGCCAAAACCCTGTAGCCTTAAAGCAGCAGAGTCCAAAAAGTTCCATTTTGCGTACAGACATTGTTCACGCTTACTTTAATGTAAAACATAAGGAAATAAAAAATGATAAAAGTTAACCACATTCCTTTCTGCTGAAATACAGATTAAAAACTGTAGAGCTAAGTTTACAACTTTATGTACATAACAAAAATTATAGCAAAATCTGAAACGATATTGTTCTCTAAAAAAAGCATTCAGAGCAAATTATTGTTAAGGAAGAAAAAGACATGCATGCCAACTGTACTTTTAATAACACCATTTGTTGTACTTGTAGTGCATCTCAACCCAGAAAGTCTGTTCTACAATATATTGTTCTTCCAATGGGTCTGTTTTAATGTTGCCAGCTTATCAAATGATTATTAATCAATTCAAACTAAAAGCACCTTTACCATATATCGTGACATCAAATTTTTAACGGTATCCGTCAAAATGATACCTGTCCTCAATGAATCATTGTGCTCATTTTTTTTAGATGTCTAGGCACTGTGCACACAAGCAACTTACACTAAATTTCTTATCATTAAAGATTTGTTTGGTAATTGCCAGGTAAGTCTGATCTTTCTTTACAAAAGCTGCATTCACTCATCTGTTCTTGGTGGTTGGTTATCTGGAAGTTTACGGAAACGGTACATGTTGACTTTGCTGGTGTTCTCTTTCACTCTATTCCTTTGTGTTTGTTGCCTCAACAAAAGAAATTATGTTAACTTTCCAGTCCTAAAGCACTTCTCATTTCAGCCTGTTCATAATTGATGTTGGTAGAAGTCGCATAAGCTATAGCAAAAGGTCCACAGTCTATTCCTCCTTTTTGCCTTTGGCGCTCTTTCAGTCGGAACTTCGTCCACTTGTGGCATGGGGTCAAATATGTCAATTTCACACTCGGTACATTATATATATTGTGAAGTGAGCCGCTGTGTAGTACATATATCAAACTACAGTTTACTCTATAATAAGGGATCTTGTAAACCTTGAATGGCAGGATGATCCCTTTTCAGTAACAGTGGTACACCATTTATATGAGTGTCATGCAACATTTCATCAACAGATATGCAAGTCAATGACAATGGAGTCATCAGTATATTTTAATAAGTGAAAATTAAAGTTATGAAATTAGAGAGTCATGGTACTGCCAATGACAAATACAACATTATTAATCTAATAGAATCTTGTTACATATAAAAGATAATACCAACAAGCATTGATGAGACGCATCAAATCACTCTGGACTCGTGAATATATGACTCCATTGTCAAGATCAGCATCGACTTAGATGCAAGTCAATGACAATGGAGTCACCAGTGTATTTTAATAATTGAAAATTAAAATTATAAAAATTACAATGCCATATAGTAGAGAGAACATAATTTTAGGACCTTAAGTAGTTACAATGAAAATGGTGTATTGGTTCATTACAACAAGAAATATAGTAGATTATTTCCCTTTCACCTTACAAAATTTTGTCAGTAAAATCTGGGATTCTTGAATGTATATAATGGTACCGAAACACATTCGCACTTCACCATCGACCAGTTTTCATTGTAACCAGCTTCTACGGCCTCTGTTGCCCTAGTAGGCCTGATATTCTTTGGGCTGTAATTTTTCAGGCCTGCCATCGATAGTGACTTCGCAAGTATAACACCAACTGTACTAGATGAAATAGCCTCCTCCTCCATAATAGGCTATATGGTCAAAAAACTACATATAGCTCACCAGATAGCTTTTTGCTCAACTACAAAGATTACAGCAATATTTTGATTACCTGGAAAGCTGGAATAATTGAAAACCCTAATTTCGATTAGTTAATTATTTTTCACACAGTCGTTTGATTGTTGTTTTGATCAATCGATTGTTGGAATATTAAAAAGAAGTGATAATTAGAAACACTAATTTTGATTAGGTAATTATTTTTCCGATAATCAATTTAATCATAATTTCAGTTAATTTTGACTAATCTATTAGTTTCATGTGATTACATCAATCACTGCTTCAAGGTAATCGATTAAGTTTCTAATCTCTATTATATATAAACTGTCGTCTGAATAATAAAACGTAGGTCAAGGGTGGACTAAAACTGTTCTATAACATAAACTCCGTAAGAGGTGACCACACTGAAAACACATGTAGTAGAGAACTAGAAGTTGTACAGATGTCAACATAGATAAACTTACATTTAACAGTTAGTAGTAGTCATAGCTCTACTTGCTGGTTTCCATTGCTCGTGTGTGTGTGTTGCAGTATTATTGAAAACTATAGAAATCGGTTTGTTGATATGTTTTTACAGCATAGTTACAGTATAAGAATGAGCTGCAATATTGTGAGAATAAACTATTATTAGGGTTGAAAATGATTCTACTCTGTGTTATTGTTATACACCCAATATGTATCAAGACCCATGTGTTTATTCTGTTAATGTAGTCGTCCACTAACCACTTTACGTGATGTAGGTAGCTGGACGACATATCACATCGGAGATAGTGAAATCAGTACTTAGGTAGCTATTTAGTTCCGTGAGGGTTCTCTATTGAAATAGGTGGTGCTAGGTACAAGGTCTTCTTCGCTAGAGTACCACTAGAAAAAACTAATTGTTGTGGGTATCTTGGATATAATCCAATATCCGGTGTTGTTGTTTTATTTTCTGACAGGGAAGAAAGCTTTTTGTTACAATGTTGTGATCGTCTGCAGTTAAGTAGTCCTTAATGGGTAACTGATATATGTATAGAAAACTAACGTATTCTCAATACTTTATCAGGATAATTAAAATAGTATCAACAAATTTAATTAGAAAAATTTAAGAACAAAATAAGTTTATTTATTATAATCATTTCCCATACTTGTAGCTTGATAACGTCCCACAGGTTTAAACGGTCTCACTCGACTGATTTTATTGTAGCTTGATAACGTCCCACAGGTTCAAACGGTCTCACTCGACTGATTTTATTTGTAGCTTGATAACGTCCCACAGGTTCAAACGGTCTCACTCGACTGATTTTATTGTAGCTTGATAACGTCCCACAGGTTTAAACGGTCTCACTCGACTGATTTTATTGTAGCTTGATAACGTCCCACAGGTTCAAACGGTCTCACTCGACTGATTTTATTGTAGCTTGATAACGTCCCACAGGTTTAAACGGTCTCACTCGACTGATTTTATTTAATGCTCGTTAAAGCAACAATGAGGATTTACAGCACTATTAATAGATTTTAAACACATGTAAGAAGGTTATTTATGCAACAAAAGGTCATACACTGGAATTAATATATTTCTAAAAGCAGCAAGAAACTGATTCACAAAGAGTGTAGTTTTTCAGCTGTTATAACAAGATATATTAATCTTAATTTTTACTGCAATAACCAAAGCATTCATTTCAACACACTTACTACTTGAGATAATTTTTGTGACAGATCGCTTTATGAAGAATTATAAAATAATCAGAAAGTAATGATATACTTAGGTAACACAACATTCTCAGGTAACAATATACATAGGTAACATTCCAGACAATCTCAGTTTTTATACATTAAAATAAAAATTATATAGTTTCTCCTAACAATAAAAATGTGAGAAAATTGCCATAACAACTAACTTCAAGAATGACAAATCTCCAAAAAAAAAAAGGTAAAATTAATTTTGTTTGGAAGAACATTAGTAAGACTGCTCTATGCTTATCAGAGGTTATTATTATACAATCTGTCATTTCTGAAAAGTTTTGCCAATAAATGAAGACAAAGATTGCAGATTACACAACAGGAATTGTCACAGAAATATCTCTCATTGTTTGCTTATACTAATGTTGTTACCGTAATGCTGTATATATAACGTATGCTGGCCTACTCTTCGGCTACCCCATTGGTCCTCTCAGATGTTCCACCAGACACACTTTCTCTCAATTTTGACATGCATATTTGTCAAACATTTCAAAATTGTATTTGGTCCTAAGAAGATTGCAATTGATAATTTTTCTGCATTAACCACTTCTGATCAATATTTCCATCACACTCTCTCAAAAGAGAGAGAGCAACGTCTTGTTCTCTAGTCATCGTTAGACAGTTTCCTGTATTCATGTGTCGAATTGTTTGGTCCTGTAAGAAAATCAGAAGGTTGTCCACTGGTAATGCAATATACAAAAATAAATATGGTAACAGATGCTTAACTAGAGTGTTTGGATTTAAGCTTAACAAGAACTTCAGGACAATTTACTATTTTTCATAGTACACTGTGACACCTGATGTACGTGTATAGTTAAATGATATAATTAACTTGAACTTATAGAATTTTAAAAACATTTAAGGACAATTTACAGTATTTTTCATAGTACACTGTGACACCTGATGTACGTGTATAGTTAAATGATATAATTAACTTGAACTTATAGAATTTTAAAAACATTTAAGGACAATTTACAGTATTTTTCATAGTACACTGTGACACCTGATGTATGTGTATAGTTGGGTGCTAGTTTATTTCTGAGTTGTGGGACAATCACTGATTGGGAGCTAGTTTATCTCAGAGTTGTAGGACAGCCACTGATTAGGTGTTAGTTTTTCTCCGAGTTATGGGATGACCACTGGTAGGGTGCTAGGTTTTTTTCTGAGTTGTGGAATGACCTTTGGTTGGTTTATAGTTTTTCTGTGGTGATCTCCACAGCTCGGAGTCATACCGAGACTTCTTTCACCTCAGACTCAGCTAAATGGTTAAACCGTTAACAATTCCTAGTAAGGGATCGTTACAACACGTTACCACACGTACTCGTATACAAACTGTTCAAATTGCAAAAACTACATCCATTTGAAACTTTCCAACATAAATGTGTATAACATTTACTTCTTAAAATTTACCTTTGTGTCATATATCCACATCTGGTTTCCTCCCAGTCCAGTACATCTTATAAGTTTAACAGGTGCATTAGTTGATGCTGCATCCAAACAGTTTTCATCAGACATTATCTGCTGTTGTTTTGTGTAGACAAAAACCTGGAAGGAAGTAAAAACATCCCCCCTTTTTAAAATATCTTTCACATTATTTGCTGTCGTTTTGTGTAGACAAAAACCTGGAAGGAAGTAAAAACACCACCACCCCCTTTTAAAATATCTTTCACATTATTTGCTGTCATTTTGTGTAGACAAAAACCTGGAAGGAAGTAAAAACACCCCCCTTTTAAAATATCTTTCACATTATTTGCTGTCATTTTGTGTAGACAAAAACCTGGAAGGAAGTAAAAACATCCCCACCTTTTTAAAATATCTTTCACATTATTTGCTGTTGTTTTGTGTAGACAAAAACCTGGAAGGAAGTAAAAACATCTCCACCCCTTTTTTGATATCTTTCCTACAATCTGAAAAAAAAAGCATGCAAGTGGTATGAAAAATTGTACAATAAAAATAAACACCATTTCACACAAATTAGCAAATAAATTCCAGTTAATACATCATTTCAACAGAAAGGGGTGTTAACATTCACTCGGATACATTTCATTTTTCACACACACACACATATACAAATTGT